TATATATATATATATATATATATATATATTTCGAATGCTGGAGCACCCAAACACAAAAATTGAATCTTGAAAGACCTAAGGGAGAGATTGACTGTAATACAATAATGATAGTGAATTTCAACATCCTACTTTCAGCAATGGACAGATCATTCAGTGAGAAAATCAAAACAACAAAAAAAATCACAGTTAAGCTTCACTCTAAACAGATGAAACTAATGAACATTTACAGAACATTCTATTCAACAGCTAAAGAATACAAATTTTTCTCAACAGCATATGGAGCAATCTCCAGAATAGACCACATGTTATGTTACAAAGCAGGTCTTAACACATTTTTAAAAAATGAAAAACATATCAAGTTATCTTTCTGATGACAGTGAAATAAAACTAGAAATCAATAACAGAAAGATCTTTGGAAACCATACAAATTCATGAAAATTAAACAGCATGCTCCTGAACAACAAACAGAGCAGTAAATAAATCAAAAAGGAAATTAAAAATGTCTGGACAAAAATAAATACAACATACCAAAATCTAAGGAATATAGCAAAAGCAGTTCTAAGAGGAAGGCTTATAGCAATAAATGCCTGCATCAAAATAGTGGAAATACTTCAAATAAACAATCTAATTGTGTCCCTAAAGGGACTAGAAAAGCAAGAACAAACAAAACTCAGAATTAATAGAAAAAAAGAACTAAGAAAGTTCAGTTTAGAAATAAGCAACATCGAAACAAAAATGGACAAAGCGTTAATAAAACCAAAGCTTGGTTTTCTAAAATGATAGACAGATCAATAAACTTTTAGTTAAACTAAGAAAAAGACAGGTAAGACCCAAATAAATAAAATTGGAGATGAAGAAGGAGACATTAAAACTGGTACCACATAAATACAAAGGATCATCAGAGTATGTTATGAACAACTATATCCCAACAATTTGAAAAACCTAAGAGAAATGGGAAAATTCCTGGATACATACAATCTACCAAGTTTGAACCATGAAGGATTAGAAAACCTAAACAGACCAATAACTATAATTATTGAGATTGAAGCAGTAATAAAAAGTCTCCCATCAAAGAAAGGCCCAGGACATGATGGGTTCACTGCTGAATTCTACCAAATATTTAAAGAAGCAGTGATACATATTCTAATTAAACATTTCCAAAGACTTGAAAATGAGGGAATATTTCAAAACCTGTTTTGTAAGGTAAGCATTACCCTTAAACCAAAACTAGACAAGGATACAACCACAAAACAAAACTATAGGCCAACATATCTGCTCAACATAAATGCAAAAATGCTCAACAAAATACTAGCAAATTAAATTCAACAACAAATTTAAAATGCAATTCATCATGATTGTGTCAGTCCATTCTCCTGCTGCTAGGAAGAAATAAGCAAGACTGTATAATTTATAAAGAAAAAGGGTTTGATTGAATCACAGTTCTTCATGACTGGGAGGCCTCTGGAAATTTGCAATCATGGCAGAAGGGACCTCTTCACAGAGCTGCAGGAGAAAGAATGAGAGCCAAGTAAAAGGGGAAAAGCCCTTACAAAATCAGATGTTTAACTCGGCCAGGTGTGGTGGCTCATGCCTGTAATCCCAGCCCTTTGGGAGGCCAAGGTGGGTGGAGGACGAGGTCAGGAGTTTGACACCAGCCTGACCAATATGGTGAAACCCTGTATCTACTAAAAATACAAATTAGCCATGTCTGGTGGCACACTGCTGTAATCCCAACTACTCAGGAGGCTGAGGCAGGAGAATTGCCTGAACATGGGAGGCAGAGGTAGTGAGCTGAGATCATGCCACTGCACTCCAGCCTGCGCAACACACTCTGACTCAAAAAAAAAAAAAAAAAAAAAACACACACAAAACGGTTTATCTCGTGGAGAGTCTGATGGTGAATATCAGAGTCTGGGAAGAGTAGAGGAGTGGGGGTGATGAAGAAAGGTTGTTTGTAGGTACAAAGACATAGTTACATTAAAGGAGTACATTCTAGTGTTTGATAGCAAAGTAGAGTGACTACAATTCTATTTTTTATTTCAAACAGCTAAAAGAAATATTTGGAATATTTGGAATGTTCCCAAGAAATCATAAATGTTTGAGGTAATAAATATCCTAATTACCCTCATTTTGTCATCCCACATTGTTTGCATGTATGAGAATATCACATGTATGTCATAAATATATACAATTATGTATCAATTAAAAAAGTAAAATGCAATTTGGGATCCTTGGTAGGATCCTGGATTTTTAAAATGTACAAAAGGTATTTTAGAGGCAGTTGTGGAAAATGAAATGTAGGCTATTAATTAGGGAAAACAATAGGGCATACTCTGAAATTATTATTGATTTTTTTAGGTATAATAGATGCATACTTTAGCATGCATCTCCTAAGATAAGACAATCTCATATACAACTATATATACTTGTAGGTGACAGTAAGCCTCTACGCAGTTCCAAACTGCCTTTCTGTTTTCATTTTGTAACCACTTTCCTGATGGATATATGCTCATGAACATCACGATAATCTCCTTTGTCCCAATCATAGCTCTCACATTTATTTAACAACACTACACAAACAGGGAGTCAATTTCCTCATGCATTTTTATATGTAAAATCCTACTCATCTTTTAAATCCCTAGATCTAATGTTACCTTCTTCTCAAATATTTTAACTTCCAGTCAGACTTCAGCTCTTTTTTACTTTTCCTTCATGATATTTTGCATTAATCACTGTTAATTTTTCAAAATTATGCTCCCTTTATAATGACTTTGTGATCTCTCAAAAGTGGTGACTACTTCTTACTCAACTGAATTGCCCTCACAATACATCTAATACAGCCTTGCTCATAACATTCACTAAGTAAATACTTAGGTAATAAATTAACTATAGTGGTATGGGATTATCAACTTGGGTTTACACTGCGCAGTTAAAATTAAAGGTAACTAATTATCCAAGAGCAGATTCAGGCATGGCTTATGTATATGCCCATATATTTCTGAGAAGCCCACTCCTCTGCACAGTCATTATTTCTGTCTTCTCCTGTTATGTTTTTTTGTTGTTGTTGATGTTCACATTCCAAGAGGTGATACCAAAGCCCTATGATTGTATCTGAACTTCCTACAGTTATGGCAAAATCAGGTACCCTATCTTCTGAATAGTTCTCCATAGTGCTTGATGAGAAGTATTCTAACCCAATCCTTGCACCCTAGGAGATGTGATGATTCATTCTGTAACCACTTTCCTGATGGGTATATGCTCATGAATATCACAATAATTTCCATTGTCCCACTATCTCATAGCCCTCATGTTTATTTAACAACATGTCCAACAACATTGGATGAAACTGAGTTGCTTTACTTTCCTTTGAACCCAAAGTGGACTTTGCTTTTTGCCAATCATAAGAACTCAGAACTGGGGAGGGAGGTACATGAAAAAAAATCAGAAAAATTAAATACTGTTTAGGCCAAAAGGATAGATGTTTGCTAAAGCTGAGTTATGAAGGTTTAACACAATGTAAAAGGATTTTCCTGAAAAAGAGTGGCACATGTACAAATTCTGAGTTGTAAAAGAGCAATAAATACAAACTACAAATAGCTCAGCTGGTAGGAACAAAAAGCACATATTTGGGAACATCAGAGAAGAAGGTTATGGAGGACTAACAGGTCTCATGTCCCATAGGAAGACCGTCTTTTGTGACCTTTTCCTCTTGAAGAATATGCACTAATGGTTTCAAGTAATATGCACTAGTTACCTATTGATGCATAGTAAGTTACTTGAAACTCAGTGACTTAAAATAGCAAAAATGTATTAGAATATTCGTGGTTCATGTGTCTGAACATTGCCCAACTGTTATAGGAGTTCTCTATAAAAGCTCTCCCAAGGCTGTAATCGAAATGTCAACCAAGCTTCATTTTTTTGAATTCAAAGTCCTCTTTGAAGCTCAATTGGTTGTTGGTAGTGTTCTGTCTCTTTCATCACATTTGCAGAACCGAAGTCACCATTCTCTTACTGTCGGTTGGATTACTCTCATTTCGTAGAAACTTTTGCAGTTCCCTGCCACCTGGCCTTGCCACATACCTCTTAAAACATATTTGCTGACGTAGGAAACCATCTCTTAAGGCTTTTACTTAAGTCAGGCCCACCTAGAATTACCTAGCATTTGATTAACCCAAAATAAACTGACTTTCAGCCTTAATTACACTTGCAAAATCCCTCCACCTTTGCTATATTCTATTGGTTTGAAGCAAGTCTGTTCCAGCCACACTCAAGGGGAGAAGATAACACAAGTGTGTGACTCACTGGTGTCATCTCAATTCTAGTGTCCACTACACAGCGCAATATGACATTGCAATGTGGTGCTTTCCAACCAGTAATCCATTGATTGACACTTCCTATTAAGTATTTCTTTTCCTTTAAAAAAAAGAAAAAGAGAAAGAAAATAGCAGGTTTTTATGAACGTTAATGCTCTTTTTAGCCATCATCTCTCTTCCGAGACAGTCTCATTAATTTCAAAACCTGCCAAAATAGATATATATTATGTAATCTCATTCCACCTGAAAGTGAGCTAAAAGAGTCATTTAAAACTAGGTCCCCAACTGAAAATAGATACTCCTTTTCAGAAAATTATTGCCACACTCTCTGACCTCTCTCAAAATATCCCATTTTAAATAATTTTGTTTTGTTTTTTAAAAATGATATTTCTTCTGATTCAATAAAAATTGTTTTGTAAAAAATGCAGATATTTTGCTCAAGCAATCTCAATCAGCAGGTGATTTGCTGAATATTTTATCATAAATTATAGTAATCACTATCTCAAACAACCAAGTGAAATTTGTGGTAATTGTTACATCCCAAAGGATTACAATTTAGAGAACTTGACATATTCCCCACTTTTCGTTCTACACTTGCACTAACTCAATGCAATTAAGGGTATGGGTCAAACGAATGAAAACTACTAATGAGGCAAAAGAGGAAAGTCTTGTCCTATTTTGTGGGCTGTGTTGATTGTACTCCCTAGATAATTGCAGTTTCTTAAAGCTTCCCTTAAATGTTCTTATTAAAATCTTCATAGAAGTCTATTATTATCTCTGTCTCCTGTAGTTTTTCTTTCTTTTTCTTTTTCAAACTGAAGTTCTGGGTTACTAGGAGATTTTGAATGTGAAAATCATGGGTCCTCAATTTATTTTAAAAAGCTAAAGATATTTCAAAGATATGGTAAGGTATCAAAATTATGGATTTTGTACTACAAAAAGCCTTATGTTTAATTCTCAAGTCTGCCTTTGGTACTTTCATGATCTTGGTAAAGTAACAAAATCTCTTCAAAGCAAACTTCTTCCTGCCACTCAGCCTCAAAATCTTTTCTCAAGCAATACTTCTTGAGGGCACATGCAGACGGATGTGAAGTGGGAGTGTTTGGCAACAACTCTCCAGTAAATTCCAAAGGAGATTTTCTAGAGCGGATTTATGTCACTGCTGCAAGTGTATTGCGTATCACCAAATCTCAATTCAGTGAAAGGCATTCAGCAGAGGGTATACAGTTTCTGGTGAACTAGTGTATGTAAAATTAAAGACATATCAGCTAGCACCCATGTTCTCAAACTTCAGGGCATATCAGAGTTACCCAAAGTGCTTCTTGCACTGATAGATCCCCAGGCCAAAGTCGTAGTGATTTGATTCAGTATTTTGGGGGTATGACCTAGAAATCTGCAGCTTGAATAACAACCTGAGTGATTCTGATGCAGGTGGTCCAAGTAATAATCACTGCTTTAAGAATGTGTGTGTGTGCATGTGTGTGTGTGTGTGTGTGTGTTTTCTACATAAAATACTAGACATATTAGATAATCTGGACCCCCAAAAAATCAAACTTCAATTTGAAATCCCTATGAAATAGTTCATTATCCCGAAAGGATGCATTAAACTGCAGTATATTAAAGGACCTAACGTGTTCTTCACTAAAGAAATAATTTATCTCTATTTAACTTAATGTTGCATAGACGTATTTGCCTACAAAGCCAGTTAGCAAACAACTATGAATGCCTGTTGCAGACACAGCTGGTACCCTCCCTGGCTGTCTGTGGGGCAGGTGTTTCCAACCCCTAGCTTCTCAGTGTATTGACTACAAAGATTCACACTTGTAGAAGGCTCCTCTCAGAAATGTCTAGGAGATTACAGACAGTAGTGGGTTGGATTCAGCTCACACCAGCTCAGGACAGCCAAAAGTGCTCTTCCCAACCCGGCATCCACTGATGTCAAATTCTGATGACTTGACATTAATCACACAGGAGTATTTGTACCACGGAAATTGGCAAACTCTGCAAGTCAGGATTGTTTGTTGTTGTTAGCTGATTGATAATTATTTGCCAATGACTGACTGGTACAGGGGGTGTAAAAGCCCAACTTTCTAATGTAAATTTGGGGACACTTTGTGGTGCCCTTCACACTCCAGTGATTCCTTTGAGATCAGTCTGAGAGCCTAGATGTCAGCAAAAACCAAGTCTTTCCTTTGCTTTGCCACCTGGCCTCTACTGTTTCCCAGAATTGTTCTGAGATCATTATCCCAGGAAATCACTTGCTTGAAAATCCCAAACTCAGAATATTCTTGTAGGGAGCCTGACAAGATACAATCTCCTATTGGACTCAGTACTCCACAAAGCACACTTAAGGAAAGCTAAAACAGAAGAATCGAATTTCTATATCGATGACACCCAATCCTCCATGAATATTACTTATTTCAATTGCACCTTTGCTGATCTGAATAAGAGTTGAGTAGCATATGTGTCTCATTTACCTGTGGATATCTTCAGTTTAGAAACTTGGCCTCATTCACTCTTTTTATATCATTTAAGGCCCTCATGAGCATTGTGAATGACTAAAATGTTTTCTCAAACTGTTTTGCCAATGTTTGGCGTGGGCACACACACAGGCAGCATAGTGTATTGTTACAGAGCACAGGTTCTCGCCATAAAGCCTGGGCTCAGATTTTGTTTTACCATTTAATTGATGAAGGGCAAATAAGTTAGCCTATTTGCAAAATAGATATAACACGCTTATATCAAATGCCTGTTTTGAGGATTATTTTTTCTTTTCAAACTGGAGTAAATATTTTCAGCTCAAATATTTGTTATGAGTCCTTAGTGTGATAAATGGTATTTAG